ACGTATACTGCTATTTACTGCCACCTATTGGCGTCTGTATGCTAGTTACCTAAGGGGAGGTACATAAATTGTGGGTGATTATATGCCTCACTGCTTAGTAGGATCTTAGTCATCATGTAATCAGTTTTATAGGTTATGTAGTAGTAACTAATAACTAAGTAGTGTGGCTCTTCTTTGAGAGTTTTTTTTGGCTAGAGACTTTGTTAAACTTGTGTATTGGATAAGTCTTGGATGCCACATATATGAGAAGAAGTTATTTTTTCTATGTTTTGCATGAAACTTGTATTTTATGTAGTTTTATTTTTTTCTCAATAAACAACCAGATATGTTCTGTACCTTTTGGCTGGATTTCTTTGGAGAACAAGATAAGGACATTGCATTCTTTAAATCTCTCTAACGCTGGTAGTTATATCTGCACTCTGCCTAACAGTTTGTGTTGCCCAAATTCCTCCCTGCCCCAAACCATCCCTGTTTTCTCTATAAACAATTTGTGTTTTTCCCAGTTAATGGCAGGTAGTTTAAGATAGGTAAGAAATTTAGTTAGAATAATTTTTGCTCCCATTATCCCACTTGTCCACCCCTAGAGTAAATATTACAAGTTTCTTTCCCCTGATTCCTCACTTCCTTGAACTGAACTCCAGCTGAGATTTAATAGGAATCCATAAGGAGAATTAATTTATTGAGCAAAATGGTGTAACACTGTAAATGTGCTGCTTCGTTTGAATAAATGGATTTTTTTAAGGTTTCCAAAGTTCATATAATAGAAATGATCCATTTCTATACTGTGCAGTTTTATTCATATGAACTTTATAACAAACTGAAAGCCCACATTTAGTAAGGCTTAGATCAGAGTATTTAATGCTGATCAGCAGAACAACCTTTCAAAATAATGGAGAAACCTTGGCAGAATTTCACTAGGAAATTCACACTCACTTTCTGTGCTATGAATTCTTATTTTGCTTCCCCTACCTTGCCTCAATTGTCATTCATTCTTTTTCTTTTAAGGAAATAATGTGCAAGAGAACAAGGAAGCCTTCCAAATGTTCAGGCATGAAGATGGAAGAGAGGAATTTGCAAATGTAATGGAACCAAAAGGGCACGAGGGAAATCTGTCCAAAAATGGGAGTAAGAGGAGCTCAACTTTCCCATCTGCTGAAATTGAAGACTTTCTTCCCCAACAAGATCAGAAAGAAAAAATAAAAATGGAAACTGCAGAAACATTTGAAGAGGACTTAGATTTATATGAATGTTACACAATTCACACTAAAGAAGAGGATCTATGCCATGAGGATGAAAAAAATTACAATTGGACATCTAGACTTTCTTTATCTGGAGAAACTAAAATGGGAAATAAACCATATAAACGTACAGAGAATGGGAAACTTTTAAGTGAGAGCAGTTCCTTTGCTCCCACTGAAATGACCCACTCAGGGGAGAAACCATATAAATGCATGGAATGTGGAAAGAGTTTCAGCCAGCGCAGATATCTTAGCTCCCACAAAAAAATCCACACAGGGGAGAAACCATATAAGTGCACAGAGTGTGGAAAGAGCTTTAATCATAAGGCTAATCTTAAATCCCATAGAATGAATCACACAGGGGAGAAGCCATATAAATGTGAAGAATGTGAAAAGAGCTTTACCCATAACTTTCAACTTACCTCCCATAAAAGGATCCATACAGGGGAGAAACCGTATAAATGCATAGAATGCGGAAAGAGTTTCAACCAGCGCAGTAATCTGAATTCCCATAAAAAAATCCATACAAAGGAGAAACCATATAAGTGCATGGAGTGTGGAAAGAGCTTTACACAGAAGGGTAATCTTAATTCCCATAAAAGGATCCACATGGGGGAGAAACCATATAAATGCAGAAAATGTGGAAAGAGCTTCCATAAAAAATGGGACCCTTACTCTTCCCAAAAGGATCCACACTGGGGAGAAGCAGTATAAATGCTTGGACTTTCAAGAGGTTGCACGAAAATCTCGAACCATCAGTTAAGAGGTCCTGTGCTGGAGCTTCAGGAATATCTACTTCCAGGAGAGTAAGAGGCCCAAAGAGATTTGCAACTGCCTCCACCACTTTTGCCATCAGTGGCTGAAGCCAGAAAGAGACACAAGCTCAGATGCTGGACCTGTTGCTCCCGGAACCGTTACCAGATGGTGGCCTTGGATGAAGGCTTCTTCCTGAGCCAGGCGGAGGAGCAGAAGGAGCAGGAAGAGCTGCTGGTTAGAGACCTTCATCCGGCAAGCTCAAAATGGGATTTAAAATAATAAACCACAGTCTGTTTCAAATCTTAGAAGGCTTTCCATCTCAGTTGGCTGGTGTTAATAATATGAGATAGTTTAAGGCAAATTGTTCCAGTCCTATTCCAGAGGATATATTTGAAGCAATTCTTCCATTGTTTCCCTCCATTCATGTCGTTGATTCAGTAAAGTGGGAAGGCAAGTTCCTACTGCACAATCCCTTGTGTTCTGCTTATCCCCCAGGCTAGATCCCAAGCTACAGGGAGCTGCAGCTTCAGACATACAGGTAGTCGTCATTTAGCAACTACAATGGGGACCAGTAACTTGGTTGTAAAACAAAGTGGTTGCTAAGTGAAACTGCGACTGTACTTATGATCTTACTTCAGGTTTCCTTTGCTTTACATACCTGTGAAGGTCATAAATACATGGATTGGTTGCAAAGTTACTTTTTCATCACTGTCATAACTGTAAACAGTCACTGTACAAGGCAGTCACTAAACAAGGATCACCTGTGCTAAATACACATCTCTCAACTGAATCACCGCTGGAAACGTGAACCCAGGATGATAACCCAAAATTATCCATAGAAGGAGTGACCTCTTTCTTTTTTCAAGTTCATCATTCTCCAACCCCATAGACATTCCACCCGCTTCTCCCTTTTCCCAACCATCTCGGAATTAGTCTCTAGATGATAGGACAAGCTGTATAGAAGGTGGCCATTATGGTGATACATATGTGCAAAAGTAAACTTGAAGGGAATTTTCTACTTGCTTAGAAACCAATTTGGTAAGAGACCAAATGCAGATTAACCAATGCAATTGCAACATTTGCAATCTCCTGTCTAAAATTTCAGATAAGTTTGCAATGCACGTTAAAAAAAAGTGGAGATTCCATTGCACTGTCACGGCCACCATCTTAACTCTTGGCTACAACTTATGGGCATCCCTGTAACATTGAGTTTTTCCCCTCATCTTTTTTCTTCATAACTTGTTTTTTCCCCATTTTCTTCCCCAAACACAGGTAAATTTCTCCAAGGTAGTGTAAAATACCTTTCCTATTAACTACTATTCTCCCTAGAATAGTTTTTAGGGTTTTTTTCCTCAGGCCCCTTTGTTCCTTGGGATTTTGGGATATTGATGCTGCCTCAAATTCTCAGTTTTTGGGCCTCTTCAGCTCTCCCTATCTCCTGAGGAGCATTTCAGTTCTTTTTCTCAGGTAAAATTTTGATAATGGTGTTTCTATGAATTGAATGAATGAATGAATTCCTCAGTCTCGGGTCCTCTACCAAAGGCCTGGGAGTTTGAGGGTTCTGCGCAGTATCTTAGCTGTTCCTAGCATTGT